TGGATGGATAGATGGTTGCCTGGATGGATGGATGGATGGATGGATGGATGGATGGGTGGCTGGGTGGGTGGATGGATGGATGGGTGGTTGGATGGGTGGGCAGATGGGTGGCTGGATGGGCAAATGGGTAGATGGGTGGATGAGTGAATGGATGAATGGATGTATGGATGGATGAATGGTTGAATAGTGGATGAATGGGTGGGTGGGTGAGTGGATGGGTGGTTGGATGGATGGGTGCATGGGTGGCTGGCTGGCTGGATGGATGGAAGGACTGACAAGGTTGTTTACCTTGGTCCTACTGGTGCACTGGCCCAGATCACTCTCTGTGATGGGCCCATCCTGTTCATTGTAGGATGTTGAACATCATTTCTGGTCTCCACCTGCTGCTCACCAATAGCACCACATCCCAAAGTGGGCATCCCCAGTGTCTCTGTTCTTTGCCAGTTGTCCTCAGGGGACTAGAACTGTCCTTATGGGGGGCCATTAAGTGGTCAGCTTTGGGTGCATGAAAAACAAGGTCTGAGCTTCTATAGCTTAGCTCCCACCAGATGCAGCCTCCTCCAAGGTAGAAGGGAAGAGACTAGCACCTGTCATCTGCCAGTCTGTGGGGAAATTCCTTGAGCTCTAGGGGCTGGGTCACTGCCTTTGGGATTCATATCTATAGTGAGATTCTCAATCAGTTTTTGCACATCCGACTGCAAAAGCTCTTAGGTGGAGTGTTTCATCTTCTCTTTGAATTTTGCACCTGAGAAAGCTGGTAGTAAACTCAGGGTGCACCCTTCAGGAATGCTGGTGGGATATTCAAAGCACACAAGCCCCCTGGGTTGCATAACCCCCCCCCAAAAAAATAAGAAAAAGCCAAAAACTTTGCCTTTGTGTGTGACATCGGTCATCTCTTCCTTCAAACGTAATTTTGTTGGGGTCCATCTTCCTAAGAAGCCCTGTGATGTAACCACAGAGTTATTGTGCCAAGAGGTCCCCATAACCCACTCTAAGTGGAGAATGTCACCAAGCAGGTGTGCATTTCACCCACAACCCACCCAAGGTCCTGGCTGAGCCCAGGCTGCCTCTGCGGGATGAGAGCCCACCTCATTCCTGGTTGGACAAAAGCTTCTCACGCAGCCTGTGTTTATAATCACTGTTCAACATCTGTCAATCATCACCCCCCCCCAAAGTGAAATCAGCAAGGTGTCTGTGTGCCAGAGCCCCAGGCCAAAGTCAAAATTCAAAATCTGGGGGCCCTTTGTTGCTTTGGCAACAGCTGAGGTGGGGGAGGGCTGTAGGAGGAACCGCCCAGGGTGAGCCTCATCTGTCCTTTGCAAACTCAGAGAAGTGGGCGCCCAAAGACAGGTGCCATGCATCCCCGGAAGTTCCATGCTGGCCTCTGCTGGAGCCCAGTGTGTTCCCATCCCTTTCCCAAGTGACATTCATCTGATTTGCTCAGGACCCCCAATATCGACCGGCTGGCRGGGGAGGGCGTGAGACTCACCCAGCACCTGGCGGCCGCCCCGCTCTGCACCCCGAGCAGAGCTGCCTTTCTCACCGGGAGATATGCCCTCCGATCAGGTGGGTGTCGCGGGGACTGTGGACAGCAGCTCCGGGCTGCAGCCTGAACCCCATCGCCACTCTAGCTGGGTAGCGATCCCCGAGAGACTGGTAAAGTGAAGGCCAATGTGCCCTCCTGCCACCTTCCTGCAGTGTGTGCTCAGAACAGGGTATCSTATGCCCTCACCCCTCAGGACCCTCAGACCTCGTGGCTGTTAAAACCCACGCACAAAGCCGGGCACAGTGGCGCACGCCTGTCATCCCAGCGGTTGGGAGGCTGAGGTAGGAGGCTCATGAGTTCAAAGCCAGCCTCAGCCAAAAGGAGGCCCTAAGCAACTCAGTGAGACCCCGAAATGCAAAATAGGGCTGCAGACGGGGTTCAGTGGTTAGGTACCCCTGGGTTAATCAAATGGTGTCACCGATAACCACGCACCTTTTTCTGCAGTCTAAATCGTCCCTAGCTGATCTGGGACACCCAGCACGATGCAGGTTCTGTGGGAATCGTGCTGATACTCAGAGGAAAAAAAAAATTACTCAGGGAAAAAACACCCAACACAAATGTCTGCATGTCTGGTGCCGGAGAAAGGTTCTTTTCCTTCCCATATTTTCCACTGATAGATAGATAGATAGATAGATAGATAGATAGATAGATAGATAGATACTGGGTCGGTTCTCATGATAGGCAAGGTGTGTCCAACTTATGCAGCTGACATTGGGACAGATAGTGCTCTGTGGTGGGGTCATGCTGTGCACCATAGCACATTTAACAACCTCTCTGATCTGCACCCACTCCATACCCAGAGCACCACCTCCCACCTTCCCCGAGTGCTGACAGCCAGATCCTTGCCCACTGTCCCCTGGTCTGGTGCCCAGAATCCCCTGTTCCTGGCAAAGGGAACGTGAACCTTGCTCGGCTGTCGGCTCCACAGGAATGGACAACGATGAGTACCGGGTCCTCTACTGGAACGCGGGCTCCGGCGGGCTTCCTGCCAATGAAACCACTTTTGCAAAAATCCTAAAGCAGCAAGGCTATGCCACTGGCCTCGTAGGTATGCGGACGCCTGATTCCCCTCCCATCCAATTGTCGAGGGACCAATTTTCTCCAGAGGAAAAAAAAACACTTTCATCCTTCTTTGCCTCTCGAGTCAAAACCTCTGGCGCTCTCCGATGGTTTCCAGTTCAGAAGTTCTCCTCATTGCAGAGGGTCAAGGTTCTTTGATATATTCTTTGTCCTCTTTTCTTCTCTGGACCTGTCTATCTTCCTCAGCCTCAAGGAATCAGAAAGTTCTTCAGAGCCTGGCTCTGCCGCCTGTCATTCCAGTAGCTCGGGAGGCTGAGGCAGGAGGACCACAAGTTGGAGGCCCACCTCAGCAATTTAGCCAGGGCCTGAGCAACTCAGCGAGACCCTGTCTCTAAAGAAAACACAAAAAGGGCCGGGGATGGGGCTCGGGGGTCGGGTGGCCCTGAGTTCAATCCCTGGTACCAAAACCAAAAGCAAATCCTGGCTGAGGTCACTCACGGCCTCCACTGATTCAGGATCTGCTCTTTGGGAGGTTTTCTTTCCCCTGACCGCATCCAAATGGCCCCAGGAGGGATTTTTGTCCCAGGCCACGCACGCGCCCTTGGTGTGGCTGACCACCCACCCCCGCCTGCAGGAAAGTGGCACCAGGGCGTGAGCTGCGCATCCCGCGGGGACCACTGCCACCACCCGCTGAACCACGGCTTCGACTACTTCTACGGGCTGCCCTTCACCCTGATCAACGACTGCGACCCCGACAAGCCCCCCGACCTGTGGGTCAGCGTGGCTGCCCGGTGCAGCCGCTACACCCGAATCCTGGCTCTGGGCGTCCTGACGCTTGCCGCCGCCAAGCTCAGCGGCCTCCTGTCGGTTCCCTGGACAGTAGTCGGGGGCGCGGCCGGCCTCGTCTTCCTCTTCTTCATCACCTGGTTCTCCAGCTGCGGGTTCGTGCGTCGCTGGAACTGCGTGCTCATGCGGAACCACCAGGTCACCGAGCAGCCCATGGATGTGGGGAGCATCACCCGACGGATGCTACAGGAAGCCACGGCCTACATCCAAAGGTGGGGACCCTCACGATGCGGGGGGGCGGGGAGGTTCTGAGCCGTGAGCTACTCTGGGGTCCCATAGCAGCAGGTGCATTGGAAAGGTCCAATCTCACACTTCATTCACAAATGAAAGGAAGCTACCCTTCTTCATGGCTGCATAGTATTCCATGGTCTATATGCTGCAGGATTTTTTTTTATGGAGTCACTTTTGCCCATGTCTGTCATCCTAGCAGCTGGGGAGGCTGAGGCAGGAGGATGGCAAGTTGGAGGGTAGCCCCAGCAACTTGGCGGGGCCCTAAGAGACTCAGTGAGACTCTGTAAATAAAATATCCAAAGGACTGGGGATGGGACTCAGTGTGGAAGCACCCCTGGGTTCCATCTCTGGTGCTAAAAAAAAAAAAGAAGAAAAAGGCTAGGTCTGACCTCTTCCTATGAATTGGTTTCCACACTCACGTCTCTGCATTGAGTTACTGGGGTTGCATTGGAAAGTATCGGAGTAGTGCTCATGCAGCGGGGATTCCTTCCAAGGCCTAGGGAACACCTGAAATCCCAGAGAGTACCCAACCATTCATATATATGTTGTAAATCAAGATTCATACATATACTATAATATACAGCTATTTCCATATGCATACATACCTATGAAGATATTTAACTTATAAATCAGGGAAAGTCAGAATTGGCGCCTAATAATATAATGGAGTAAATGTGGCCATGTTCTGCGATACGAGGTGGGTGGATGAGGTATCCCATCCCTCCCTTTCAAAACATCTTCCTGTACTCTACTGACCATGGATGCTGTTTTACTCAGACAAAATTGCCCCTGTGACCAAAAGACCCAACAAAAACAACAGAGAAGAAAGAGTTGATTTGGGGCTCATGGTTTTCTGAGGTTCAGTCCATGGTTGGCCGACTCCATGGCTCTGGCCCAAGGGGAGCAGAACAAGATGGCGGCAGGGCCTGGAGGAGGAGAGCAGCTCAGGACAGGGCACCAGGGAGCAGAGAGAGCTCTGCTCACCAGGGACAGGACAGAGACCCCAAAAGCACAGCCCAGGGACCCCCTCCTCCAGCCACCCCCCACCTGCTGCAGTCACCACCCAGTGAGTCCATCCAAGTGGATTAATCCACGGATTAGGTTACACCTCTTATAATCTATTTTTTTTTAACCTGTGAACTTTCTTGCATGGTCTCACCCCTGAGTTTTTTGGGGACCCCTCACAGTGAAATCCGAGCAGGTGACCCCAGGTCATGGACGCAGCAGATTCAAGGTCCACTGTGGAGGCCATTCATTGTCTCCCGTCCATAGTTCAAGTGGTTTTCTCCTTTCAGAAACAAGGACAGGCCCTTTCTGCTCTTTGTGTCCCTGCTGCACGTCCACACTCCTCTGGTGACCTCGGGAGCCTTCCTCGGGAGAAGCCGCCACGGTTTATACGGAGACAACGTGGAGGAGATGGACTGGTTTGTAGGTGAGTCAAGATCAAGAATGGGGGGGAGAGTACACCCCGGTCCTGTTCCTTGTTTGTCCACTTATTCCCAGTGAGAGTCTAATTTTGCACCAAACCCATCATTTCGTCAGCAGTCAGTTTCGTGAGAAGCTGTCATTCCGCGTCACCCTTAGTGGTCACAGGAAGCAGAGAGACAACGTTAGCTTTCAGCRTCGTGGAGGAAAAGGGCTCTGCCTTGGGGGCTTGGGGACATGCTAGAGAGAAGCAAGTTTTCCCTGCCCTGAGCCATCCTCTCACACTTTTATTAGGGCACTTGACCCCACAGGCACCGCACATCGAAACCGCGCCTCCTGGGGACATCCTGGGTATTTCTTTGCAAGTCTCCCCTGGTTTTCGAGGTGACACGGTGCTAAGCAGACCTGGGCATCACAGTCTCAGCACCATGATCACACGTGTCCCTGTGGGCTCTGGGCAGGGGGCTCTTTCTGTGACTGCCCAGAATGCGGTGGCTTGCGCACCGAATGGGAAGTGCGCGCCACCCGCTGAGACCCGTGTGGGCGCTCCCTCGGCCACCTCCCACCTTCTCCACAGGTAAAGTCCTCCGTGCCCTTGACGAGAACGGTCTGAAGAACTCCACGCTCACCTATTTCGCCTCCGATCATGGAGGGTTACTGGAGGCCACAGAAGAACACCAGCAGCTGGGGGGGTACAATGGGATCTATAGAGGTGAGGGGCGAACCACGGGGAGGGACGCGGACAGGGAGCCAGAGGAGCCCTCATTTGAGAACAAGGAGACTATGGAGGAGGGGGAGAAAGGATGATGATGAAGAAGAGGAGGAGGAGGAGAAGG